CGGGAGCGCCACTGCGCTCCCAAGCGGTGCACTGTAGCAGTGCGCCACCGGGCCGGCCCTATCTATTTACATTTTAAGAAATAAATCTACTTACTACCTGTGAAGTAGTCATTAACTCTAACCTATGAAATATTAACCTATGAAGTATTAATACTCATTGCAATCTACTTATAATATTAAAAAATGTGGAAAAATGCTAAGAACCTAACAACAGGGAGCTAAACTATATTCATTTAGATGCAAAATATAATGCAGCCAGCAAAAATCATGTTTGGAAGTATATACAATGGTATGGCAAATGCTTTACAATATAATAGGAAATAAGCAGAGGTTATAAATAGTTTGCACAGGATGATTTTCGTAAAAAACCTACAACTGTACATATGCTGGAAAATAAAGTGTAAGCATAATCACTGAAATGTTAACTGTAGTTATCACTGAATGTTGAGTTACAGATGATTTTAACTTCTTTGTGTTTCATTCTGTATTCGCCATGTTTTCTGTAATGAGCATTATTACATTTTAAATCAGTAAGTAAATGTCATTAAAAAGAATAGATTCCCTGAAAAACTGTTCCTCCATTACTGCTATGACTCCTGAGTCATACTCGGGGGTGGAAAGCAGCAGTTTAGTCTCATTCGGGGTGGGAAGTACCTCCCCGGAGCCCGATTTCTATCAGGTGCAGCCTCATTTCTGTGAAGCCAGAGAGGTTTGGGTTGGTGGTCCCAGTCATGCTCACCCGTGGCCTCTTTCTCCAGGGATCCTTTGCTCAGAAGGGACTCGCAGCAGGTCCTCGATGGCCAGATGCAGCCTCTTCGGAGGTGACTTCATCAGCACCTTTGATGAGAGCATGTACAGCTTTGCAGGATGCTGCAGTTACCTCCTGGCGGGGGACTGCCAGAAACATACCTTCTCCATTCTTGGTGAGTCCTGGCACCGATGGGAGGGATTCAGAGAGGGGCCGGCTGCACTCGGCCTCGTGTGTGGGGAGAGTTCCTACTCACGCGACAGTGCCTGAGCTCGGAGATCACCACACACTACTGAGCGTGTGTGTGTGTGTGGGGGGGGGCAGGGGGACGATCGTATGTGACATGTGGCATCCCTTGGCTTCCCCTGGGTCTGTCTCCAGGGGAGCCTGGTGGGATGCGGAGAGTCTTTATACTTCTTTGGTGGTTCTGCCCATTGCTCTGGGTCCAGGCAACATTCTGGGAGCAAAGAAACATCAAGAGAAGTGAGGGACTAGAAGGTTCTTTGGGACATGAGATGCTCCTTGCAGAAGGGAAGAATCTTCGTTGTCTTCCTGGTGGCTGCGGCATGCAAAGTATCTAGCTGTGTTCCTGGAAAAGTGCTGGTACTGTGCCCATGTTATCTCTACGTCCCCCAGCAGCTCTGGGATGTAGACGTACAGTCACCCGGTCTTACCCATGAAGAACCAGGGCCCAAGGTGGTTGTATAATCCCCCCAAGGCCTGACGGATACTAAAAGAAGGAGCTGGATTTTGATTCTGAGCCTCTCAGGTTGAAGGAAAGTTCCTCTGCTTGAGGAGAGAGGGCACTTTTTAAGGCTGGGTGGGGCTGGAGGCAGTGACAGACAATCTCAGTTTGGTGACCTCCACGCCCTAGGAGTTCATCAGCTTGTGTGCTATGCGCGGGAGGGTTGCTGCAAAGCCTAGCAGAGGCGGGGTCCTCAGCCTTGGGGCGGGGAGATGGCAGTGGACAGACTTGCATTGTTAAAGAAAAGATGTTCGTGACGCTTGTTAAAGCTGGTGAGGAAGACTTTATTCAACAGGGTCTACTGCAATGGCAGCTTTGCAGTAGGGGAGAGAGATTGGGCGAACTCTGAAAACTGCAAGTAAAATGGGGGTGTGGAGCCAGGGAGCAGGGTGGGGGTCCGCGATGGAAAACTGCTGGGAGGAAACAGCAGGGGTGAGGGGGCCTCTGGCTCAACCAAGTCGGGAGGATTCTTGCTGAAGGCAGGCCAGGGTGATCAGGTATCGTGGGTGGGGTTTGCTAAAGCTGGATCGTGCAGGCCAAGGACAGAGCCCAAGGTTGGGACCAGGTCCTGAAGAGGGCTCAGGAGAGCCTGACTCAGGGAGGGTCTTTGGCACCACACAGACCCCTACACAAGATACAGGCTGTACGGCTCTTGGGGTCATTACTCCCATCAGTCGACAGGGATCAATGCCCAGGGCCAGGGTCTGTATGGGGGCTCAGTGAGAAGACAGTCGGCCACAGCGATGAGTGTCCCCTTCTCCTTCCCCTTTGTCCCTGCCCTGCCTCTGCTGGAACACCGGCCACAGTATGACTCCAGTGTAATGCCAGTGTCCCTGCTCCTCTGTGACCCTCCAGGGTGAGGACCATGCCTTGCTCACCTTTGTTTCCGGTGCTTAGCTCGCCGGGGTCCCTGTCAACACTGACTGGGAGAGGACGCATGAGCACAGTGCTCTTCTGTGCCGCAGGAGGTGTTTACATGAGCGAGTGGCATGTGAGAAGCCTCGGTGAACACATTTTGGTTGGGTGGAGAGGACAGTTGAGGGTGCCCCATGCAGTGGGGACAGCATGAACAAGAAGAGTCTGGAAGGGGCATGGGCTCATTTCCTGGGGCCAGTGGGGAGATTAGTGTGGCTGGAGCCATCGTCACCAAACTCCAGCACACATCAGGACCACCTGGAGGGCCAGGTACAAACAGATTGCTGGGCTTTACCCCCAGAGTTCTAGAAGTTTCATCGCTAACAATTTCCTGGCTGCTGCTGCTGGACTGGGAGCCAAACTTTGAGAAGCACAGGCTGGGGCATGGGGGGTGTAAGGCTGGGCCACGGGGCGAGGCTGCAGTGTGGGGCCTGCAGTCGGCTGGGAGGTTCGTCTCAATTCAGCAGGCTGTGAGGAACCACGAAGAGTCCCTGGCAGCAGGGAAGGGTCGGGAGGGAGGTACGAGGCAGGGTGGCCTTGGCCATGGTAACCAGGCAGGAGGTGAAAAGGGCCAGAGATGTCCCCAGAGTGTGACAATCGAGGAAGCCATCCTGAGCCCCCATCCTGTGGGGGTTCCACCTTGCTTCAGAGGCAGCTGGGGAGGGACATAGGAGGGCAGCTGGAGAGAAAAAGCCCCACTCTCACCCCCAGGGAAACAGAAAGCTCAGGCCTTCCCATCTCAGACGGCCCCAGTGTTCATTTTAAGTGGATTTAAAAATTGTAGTAGAGATGTGATAGAACCCCTTCCTGAGATGGCTCTGGGGGTGTCAGCGGGAATGGAGGGTTAGGAGTGACAGGAGGAAGATTTTGACAGAAGAAATAATGACATCCCCTCCCCCCAGCTTTGAGCTTCAGTGGCATTTCCAGGGAGGGGTCCTGTGGAGACGTTGTGGTGCCCGGGAGGTGGCTGCTGTCTTGATTCCACCACCTGTTTTAGCTCAGTTCTGCTGAGGACTCCCTACCCCAGAGACAGGTTTGCAGATGATACTTAATGAAATCTTAGCACCAGGCACAGAGTTCACAGTCTGGGTTCCGGGAGCCAAGCCAGCATGTTGGAAAAGCCCCCTTCCCCCTACTCAAGCACAACCGCGGACCTCACCCTACTTAAGGGTAGTTCTCACAGTCAGGGAAACCCAGGCTGTGCCGGTGCCTCTGTGCTGTCACCGTCACCTCCTCCAGGAAGCCCCCCCTGACCACCCTGCCCTGTCCAGCGCTGGGATCATCATCTCGTGCTGACTGGCTTCCGTCCTGCAGGACGTAGGGCCCTGCCCAAGCACGAAACGGGAGCACAGGAAGAGCCGTGGTTGGAGTCAGAAGCCCTGCGCTCCTGGCCCCACTGTCCCTCTTCACTGAGTGTCCCTAGGGAAGTGGCACAGTCTCCCTCAGCCTCCATTTCCTCATCTTTAAAATGGAGATACCGGGCCGGCCCAGTGGCACACTGCTATAGTGCGCTGCTTGGGAAGCGCGGTGGCGCTCCCGCCGAGGGTTCGGATCCCACATACAGACCGGCCGCTCACTGGCTGAGCGAGGGGCGGGAGCAACACCCAGGGTTGCGATCCCGTTGCCGGTCCCGGTCCGGTACGGGCGCGACACTGAGGGTTGCGACCTGTTGCCGGTCACGAAAAAAGACAAAAAGAAAAAAAAATAAAAATAAAAAATAAAATGGAGATACCGTGAGGATCAAGGGAGATCAATTATTTGAAAGTGTGAGGTGTTATCCAAACCTGAGTTCTTGAAAGCAGCCAGCTTAACAGAGGACGTTCTCTCGCTGGATGTGCACGTGGCAGGCATGGGGCACTCGGGGCGTTCCTGCGAGGTCAGGGTAATGCCAACATGCACCCCCGCCGCCCCATGCACACGGGTCTGCACAGGAGGCCTGGGCTCTCTGGCCACCATTTTCTGGGTATTAGCAGTCGGGAGGAATTTGAGGGGCTGCGGCAGGCCTCTGTACTCAACACATCTCAGTGGGATTCCCCACTGGCTCATTATTACTTTCTTAAGACAACTTGCCCATGTTAAGTGTCAATTTTCTGGGAGGTTATCGGCCTAAACCAGGCTACGGATCAAACAGACTTTAACGTAGGTTGGTTTCGTTGGCGTCATCCGAGGAGCGTGGGCTGGCACTGCTGCTTCAGGGGGCCAGAGGTCCCAGGGTCAGGGCCAGGGAGCCCAGAACACGGTCCCCGCAGTTCCAGTTCACAGGCAATGATCACCTTCTGTTCCACTGCTCTCCAACGACATCCTGTTTGCTCTTCTAAATGGCAAATTTACATTCCTCTCCGAGTGCCCGGGCACCTCGGTCACATCCTGGCTAAAGTGATTATGTCTGTGCACGAGGGACCATCTGGTGAACAGGGGAAGCCTCTTTCCGTGATTGTGGCTCCAGGTCAGGTGGGCTTCAGGGCCGGAGGCCAGGGCTACAGGTCCCCTAGCTAGTCAGCACGGGGCAGAGAGAGACCGTGGGAGTTGCGGTTCCTCCTCCTGTGTAGAGACTGCTCTTCCCAAGCCATGGCCGCAGCATCTGGCTCCCAAACCAACCCCGAGAGAGCCATGAACAACCAACAACCTGCTGAGTCACTTCCCCAGAGGGAGCCTCGGTTTCCGTGTCGGTAAAATGGCTGGTCAGACCAGGTCATTGTTCCTCAGGATGAAGGAACACCTGCACCAGAGTCACAGCTGTGGAGGGTGGCGTGTTCGTTACAAACGCAGCTTAGCCTGCGTCTGACTCAAGGCGCAGCTCCCAGCAGGATGCCCCTCACTCCAGCACACAGCGTGGGGGCTCCCTCCCTGCCTCAGTGCCTCCATCTGTGAGTTCAAGGGTTTTGGGGAGCCTGGGGAGAGATTTGCTGGTTTGTCTCACCTGTTGGGGAGACCCCAGCCCCTCTCTTCGTAGCACTTGTAGGAAGTGCTAACCTGGAGGCCTGTGAGTGTGGGCGTCCTTCCTGGGCTGACTGGCAGTTTCCAGTGGCTGAGTTTCCTAATGGCTGCCCATCACCTGATCCCCGACTTCGGCAGCGAGGGACCGAAGCAAACACTACAAGGCTGGTTTAGCGTTCTCCCCTGCCTTAGTGGTTAGCCGAATCCAGAGCTCTCAGATAACCCATTAGGCAGCCCTGTGTTGCAAAAGGAGGTGTGGGTCTGGAGCCAGAAAACCTGTGTGTGGTTCTGCTCCATGTTAACAGTTGTAGGGGCCACGGGAAAGCTTCCTCTTCACCCCTGAAGGTTCACTAAAGCCCACTGACCAATTCAGATTCACGCGAAGAAGAGGCATAACAAATTTTATTATTTTAACTTGCTGGGAGGGAGTGGGGGAATCTCAGGAGAGTGATTGCCCTATAACCCAGGGGGTACAGGAGATTGTACCCAGTACCTCCTGGAGGCGAGATGGGGAGTGTAGACCACTCTTCTGAGGGACAGTTTGAATGAGACTGAGAGGCAGATATTATCTTGTGAAATGGTCTGTTCAGGGGTGGTGACCTCACAGTCCCTCCAGACCCTTGTAGGGGTAAGGGGGTTGTCTTTCCTGGTTATCTGATGAGATTCCAAGGTGGGGATCTTAAGACAATTGCATCTCTTTTGGAAAGAAGCTTTCCTAGTCAGATAAGGCCATTCCAGAGAAAGTCCCTCTGTGCTTGGGGTGAGGGAAGCAAGACAAGGTTTGAGGGACCTTGATTCTAAGGCTTATTTCTGAGGCTGTTTAATTTTCAAAGCACTGAACATGCCATAGTATCATATTTTGGGGAATAGTTTTCTGCACCCCAACACAGGTTAAACCAACAGTTCTCAGTCAGGGTAATTTTCCCCCAGGGGACGTGTGGCAGTGTCTGGAGACATTCGGGATTGTCACAACTGAGGGCTGGGGCATCTAGTGGATAGAGGCCAGGATGCTGCTGATCACCCCACCATGCACAGGGTGGTCCCCACAACAAAGAGGTATCTGGCCCCAATGTCAATAGTGGTGAGATGGAGAAATCCTGTTGTAAACTTAGGCCTCAGTTTCTCCATCTGTAAAATGGAGTCAGTCTAGATCAGTGATTTTCAAACTGAGTCATCAGCCATGGGTCCTAAAATTAATTTAATGGTTGTAACCAGCATTTAAAAAGATTAAGTACAAGAGAATGGAAAACCTTGGAAAATATCAGCGTGCATCGCACATGGTAAGAGTAAATATTATGTGAAGTGTGTGTGGGGGTATGTGTATTTTGGGTCATGAAATAAATTGTTCTTACTATGCTTTCTGGCAAAAAAAGTGTAAGAACCACTTGTTCTAGATGATTTCCAAGATCTTCCCCACTGCCATAGGATGTTTCTCTAAATCGCAGACTTCTCTTGGGCACACTTTCAAAAATTCCCTTGCCAGCCCCTTGTCTTGGGTGTGGATTGACTGCTCTTACAGCCGCCTTAGCCGTCCAGGGTTGGGAATTCCACAGGCTCGGAGCAGTTCAGTCCTCACTGAAGGTAACAACACCAGCCCCCCCGTCCCTAGACTCCTATTTTAATTTGTCTTTGGTGGGCGGGTGGGTGGTGATGGTTACCATGGCCTAAGTACCCACTTCAGGATCCCAAGTCCCTGCAGTAGGTGAGCATCCTGGGGCAGCTGGCCCTGCCTCCCCGGACTGGCAGCCCCTGGGGTGCTGTTCAGCACCTGCCTCCTCGAATTCCTAATGCTGACATCTCCCAGAACCACCCAGAGCAAGCTCTTCAAATACTTAAAACAGCACCAGGGCCTGAGTACCACCTCTGCCATCACTCTCTAGCTCCATGAGGATGGGCAAGTTACCCCAGTTTCAGCCACCTGGGTAGCTGAATGGGTCGGGTCCTCCATCATTACGTGAGCAGGGCTGGGACTCTCATACCTCCCACACCTTTCTCCTGGTTCCCTCTTGTTTGATTTTCGCTTCTGCTGAATTCCCGGCTTGTTCAGCCCTGCAGGCCCTACTTTTCCGCCTTACAGTGATAGTGACCTTTGGGCTTTCCTGTGGCACCTGCTCAGTCAGCCCGGACTCTTGTAGAATGAGTGAATTGTTAGGTGATAATACATCTCAAAAGGCTTGAAGGGCTGTAGATCGCAGCTGTGGGGCCTGGCTCACCCCAAGCTGCCTGGTTGCCTTGAAGCATTCCCTACCCACCTCCAGCCACACATTCCCTGACCGACCTGTTCCCAGACACCCTTTCTGAATCCCCATGAGAGGGAGAGCCAGCGAGGAGAGGCCCATGGGATTCCTTTCCTGTTTCCAGATGGGAAGCCACCTGCTGTCCGAGCTGCCCAGTGAAGCAGGACAGAGCTGCCTGTGAGACTGGGGATGGGGGGGAGGGTCACACCGATGAGGAGACAGGTGTTTTGGTCACAGGGACATGGAGACCAAGGCCTCTTGGGCTCATCTGTACCCCTCCAGTAGTGAGGGCCTCTCCTGTTCCAGTGGGTGTCCAGTGAGGAGGTGTCCAGTGCATCTGTGCCCTGTCACACTGGCTCATCCCAGGCTGGTGTGTGGTGCTCAGAGTGGAGCCCCAGGAGGGACTGAAGAAGGGCTTTGGTCTTGGGCCCCTAGCAGGTGCCGAGGGGCCTGGAAGGCTCCCAGGCGGGACTGAAGCTGGAGGTTGTTGCCAGACTGTCGCATTTGTTTGCTTTTTCAGCATTTTATTGTGGAAATTCTTAAACATACGGAAAAGTTGAAAGAATACAACATCCATATACCCAACAGCACATTTTGCCATTAATGTTTTACTCTGCTTACTCTGTCAGCCATCTCTCCAGTTCTAATGGTTTTTCTTTGGCTGATTTCTGGCTGTCAGAAAGTTCGTTTGACTCCTAAAGATTTGCTTGCTGCAAAAGCTGTGGAAACGCAGAGCAGGCAAGGCTCCCAGCTCAGACGCGACCACACCCCTTTAGCTTGGTTAGTGTCTCCTTTCCCCCCCCCCGCGCAGTGTGGGGCTGGAGCTCTGCAGAACGTAGTTCGTGGACTGTGGGTGGTCTGCGAGACTTTCCTGGTGGTCGCTGTGCTGCTAACGGCATGTCATCCAAGCCTCTATTCGTAGAATGAGCCGGTTATTTACAAGGAACAGCCCTCACTCAAATCTCCCAGAAACACGTCTATTTTCTGCTTGTTCTTGTGGGTTAGGAGTGTTTGCATGTTTGAGGGTGTGTGTGGACCAGGTGGCCATTGTCCTCCAGCAACCTCGGTCCAGCTCAGACCCCCGCTGGGGGACTCCTCCTCTGCCCAGCTGGCTCCCTTTATCATGGCCCCGGCTGTGGCAGCAGCGTCACATCAACTGACCTTACCGAGCTTTCTGGGCTTGGTTCCACAGACATCCTGGCCTCCTTTTCACTGAGGCGCCAGAGCGCACAGTCCCCCACCCTCCTAGGAGAAGATCTACTTCCTCGTCGTTATGGCCAACCTCCCCAGCTGGGTGCCATGCCCCTTTCCTTCAGGACCCCCAGGGCACCGGGCCCACACTTGAGCTGTTGTCTTCACTGGCTGCCCTCTGTCTTCCCTACTTCCATTGATTTCTTGGTCCCCAAGGCTTGAGACTCAGAGGCCACATTGTCCCTTCCGGCTCCTTCGTCTCTCATGGCCATCAGTCATCTTTGCATACCAAGGGCAGCACAAGAAGCGCTTCTCTGAGACCCTGAAGCCCTGCGGCCCTGGGAAGAAGGTCTCGTCCGTCTTCCGTCTTCCGTGCCGCCGGCCACCATCTCCGCTTCTCTGCCCACACTTCGCAACCAGGCCATCATCAGGGACTATCTTACCATGTGTGTGGCTGTTCAAACATCTCTAATGGCAATATCGATCATTTACTGAGTCCTTCCTTCGTAATTCCGTGCCCTGTGTGAGGCACTTTCCCATTTTTTTTTTTTCAGGACTAAAATATTTATTTTTACACTATAATTATCTACTAGAACCTAATTTCTACCTACAATAACCCTCATTTCAACCAAAGATAATCAAAGTAAGACCAATTTGTTTTCAAAATAGGTTCAGTCTCGTTAAACTTCACCTGATTATTTACATAAATTTAGTAAGAATAGTGATTTTCATATATGCCTTTTTATAGTCTGCTTTTCTTAAACTTTTAATGAACAATTTTATTTTAAAAATCTTTTTACTTTAATTTATCAGTATACAGTGTAGTTGATTTTTGTGTCCCTTCGTCAATTCCTCTCTCCCCTGCCCTCTCCCCTCCGTCCCTTTTCCTATACTATCTCTAAACTTCTCCCGGAGAATCACATTCAGTAAACTGGGATGGAGATCGTGAATCTCCTTTGTAAACAAACCGCCCAGGGGTTCTGATCTGGGCTGTCCCAACACAGATCGCATTTTAGAGAACACTGTCCTAGAGCACCTGCCACCAGTAGTTCGCTCGCTTTGATTTGCTGCCTTATGATGTACTCAGTTGCCCTGTGCTTGTCTTGCCTTTATACATAGATTGTAAACTCCCAGAAGAAAGAGGTCATGCTTTTACAGGTTTCTTTTGTGAAATATGAAAGCCCACCTGAGGGCTATGTATTCAGAAGGCAGCAATAAATATTTTTAGACGAATGGAAAGATGCATGAGTAAATGAGATTTTAGGGAGATTTTTGCTACTCACTTGTTAAGTCTTTTTCAGGCGTTTTCCACTGAGATAAGATTATAGAGATAATGATTATTAATACATTTGTTCATTTTTTGGGTAACGACTACTGTGGACTCTTTTCTTTTTCAGGGGACTTCCAGAATGGCAAGAGAGTGGGCCTCTCCGTATATCTTGGGGAATTTTTTGACATCCATTTGTTTGTCAATGGTACTGTGATGCAGGGGGCCCACAGGTAAGCCAGAAGCCCAGAATGTCTGAATTAGAAAGCACCTGGGGATCCCCTCGCACCCCACCCCCACATTTTTCAGATGAAGAAGCTGGGGCCCAGAGAGAGGAAGTAATGTGCCCAGAGGAAGCGAGCAGCAGGGCTGGGAGAGAGCCAGGTTTCCCGGCTGCTGCTCTAGGAGTCACTTTGCACCTGGTCTAAACGCTATAACACGGGGTTGCGAGGGACATGTGGAGGGACATCTAGGGAATGCACAAGAAGCCCACTTTTGAACCATTCCTCTGCCTTCCAGAGTCTCCATGCCCTACGCTTCCAAAGGGCTGTATCTAGAAACTGAGGCTGGGCACCACAAGCTGTCCAGTGAGGCCTATGGCTTTGTGGCCAGGATTGATGGCAGTGGAAACTTTCAAGTCCTGCTGTCACACAGATACTTCAACAAGACCTGTGGGCTGTGTGGCAACTTTAACATCTTTGCTGAAGATGATTTTATGACCCAGGAAGGTAAGGTTTTCTGAGATGCTGTTTCCCTGAAGTGTGGTTATGCCTTTTGCTTTCCTGCTCACAAACCTTCACTAACACACCTCCCCTGGCATTTAAGCCTCTCCATGACCTCACCTCAATTTATCTTGTGAACCTTGTCTTTTAGCATTTCTATGCAATGCTGAGACCTCTGGTCAAACCAGATCTTGGAGTGTCTCAAACCTGACCTTGTTCAACTTTGAATTCCCCATAGCAACTTACACATGGTAGATGGTTTGAGTAGAGAGCCTCCTGAGCTCACTCCCATGGCATGGCTGAAATCTATAAAGAGTGGTCCTCCCCACTGTCCAGAAAGACCAGTTTATGTGTGCATTCATGAGCAGTAGAAGGTAATATGGATAATGTAAAAACCACTATTAATCTTTAATTTTCTTTTGATATTTTGATGACATAAGCATTTAATCAGTGATGTTCCCTTGCAAAAGCTGAACATTTGTTCTTAAGTTATCCTTCTTCCTTATGACCCACCTAGCCTCTGATTAGTTGACTGTTCCTTTCATTGGACTGTGCCATGTTGGAAAATAGAAAGATCGTTTGTTTTTGTCTTCTCCAGCACTGATTTTTCAAACTTTTTGTTGTCCAATATATACACTTAAGTCTATACATTTTCCTCTAAATGCCACTTTAGCTGCACCACGCAAATTTTGATATGTAGCATATTTTCATTTTCATTTAGTTCTATGTATTTTCTAATTTCCATTTTAGTTATTTATTTTTGGCAGCTAGCCAGTACAGGGATCCAAACCCTTGACCTTGGTGTCGTCAGCACTGTGCGCTAACCAACTGAGCTAACTGGCCAGCCCCTAATTTCCATTTTGAGTTCTTTCTTAACCTATAGTGTGTTTAAAATTTGCAAATGTTTAGAATCTTAAAGTTACTTTCTTTTAACTAAATTACTATCTAAATTAAATTAGAAATTTGTGGAGACTTGCTTGTGGCCTAGCAATTTTTTGACATCCATTTGTCTATGGTACTGTGATGCAGTACTATTCTCTTTTTTTTTGCAATTGTTCTATGTTTATTTTTTTGCAGTTGTTCTCTGTATGCTCAGAAAGAATGCATTCTCTGTTTGGTGTTAAACTAAGTTTTTAAATCTGTATGTTTACTGCTTTTTGTCTGCTTCATCTACCATCACTAAGAGCTTTGTTAAATTTTTCTATAACGATGGTGAATCTGTCAATTTCTTCTTGTAATCTTCTCAAGTTTTGCTTTGTATATTTTGAACCCTATTATGTAACGACTCTCATCATTTGTAAAGTGCCTTAAAATCTGTCTAATATTAATATAGGTACTCTATACCTTTCTTTTGATTAGTGCTTGCTTCCATACTTTTAACCTTTCTGTGCGGTTTTGTTTTAGATGAGTCTCATACAAGCAGCACATAGCTAGATTTTATTACTTTTTTAAAGTCATATTTTCTGAGGTATAATTTAAATACAGTAAAATTCATTCAGTGTGCAGTTCTATGAGTTTTCACAAAAGTATCGAGTCATGTAATTACCACAATCAAACTATAGAAGTTTCATCACCCCCCAAATTCCTTGTGTCCCTTCGTAGTCGAACCCTTCCCCAGCTGTTCGCCCTTGGTAGCCACTGATCTTTTCTTTTCTTTTTTTTTTTTAAAAGATGACAGGTAAGGGGATCTTAACCCTTGGCTTGGTGTTGTCAGCACCACGCTCAGCCAGTGAGCAAACCGGCCATCCCTATATAGGATCCGAACCCGTGGCCTTGGTGTTATCAGCACCACACTCTCCCGAGTGAGCCACGGGCTGGCCTGATCTTTTCTTTTCTTTTTCCCTATAGTTTTGATTTTTCCCAAACTCACATAAATGTGATCATACAGTATTTAGAGTATTTTCAGCCTGGGTTCTTTCATTTAACACAATGCATTAGAGACTCATACATGTTGTTGCATGTGTCAATAGTTGGTTTCTATTATTGCCGAGGAGTGGTACACAATTTGTAATCCATTCCCCAGCTGAAGGACACTTCGTTGTTTCCAGTTTTGGTGAACAATGAATAAAGCCACTATAATCATATGTGTATAGACTTTCCCCCCTGTTTTTTATTGTTCTGTAATGCACATATTGTAAAATTTACTCTCTTAACCATTTTTATGTATATATAGTTCGGTGGTATTGAATACTTCCACATTGTTGTGCAGCCATCACCACCATCCATCTCCAGAACTCTTCATCTCGTAAAACTGAAACTCTATACCTATTAAGCAATAACTTCCATTCTCCTCTCCAAGCGCCTGGAAACCATCACGCTATTTTCTGTCTCTATGATTCTGATTACTCTTAGGTACCTCATGTAAGTGGAAGTGTACAGTGTTTGTCTTTTTGTGAGTGGCTTATTTCACTTTGCCTAATGCCTTCAAGATTCATCCATGTTTAACATATGTCAAAAATATTTTCTTTTTAAGGCTGAATAACATTCCATTGCATGTACATACCACACATTGCTTACCCATTAATCGATCGATGGACACGTGGGTTGCTTCCATGTTTAGGCTATAGTGAATAATGCTGCTATAAACATGCATGTACAAATACCTTTTCAAGACCCTGCTCTCAATTCTTTTGACTGTATACCCAGAGGTGGAATTGTGGGATCATATGGCAATTTTATTTTTAATTTTTTCAGGAACTACCATACTGTTTTCCACAGCAGCTATACCAGTTTACATTCTTACCATCAGGGCAATTTCTGTACATCCTTGCCAACACTTGTTATTTTCTGTTTTTTATTTTGATAGTTGCCATCCTAATACATGTGAGGTGGTATTCATGTATAGGTTTTTGTGTAGACACACGTTTTAATTTCTCTGGGTAAATATCTAGGAGTGGGATTGCCGAGTGTTATGATAAGTGCATGTTTAATTTGATAAGAAGCTGCCAAACTATTTTCCAAAGTAGCTATGCCATTTGCATCTCCACTGGCAACGTATAAATTTCAGTTTCTCTGAATTCTTGCCAGCATTGGTATTGTCAGCTTATTTTTTATTATCACAATTTTAATAGATGTATAGTGGTATCTCATTATATTTCATTATTATTATTTTAATGTATCATGATCTTTTCTGTCTTCTTCTTGTAGAGTTTTGCCTCTCTTCATTCATTTTGTATTAAACGTGTTTTTGATATCTTTGGGTTTAATCTTACCATCTTGTCTTGTGCTTTCTACCATCACTGCTTGTTCTATGCCACTTCTTTCCCTGCTACCCTCACTGCCTTCCCTACCTTGTTTGAATAAACCACTAAATTTGGCATTATTATTATAGCTTTACACAATCAGTGCTTGCCTAGATATGCCTTCGTGTTTAATAGATTCCTTGCTCATAATTTCTCCTTTCTTTTGGGTTCAATTTCCATTTTTCTTTCTTTTTTTTTTTTTTTCCTTGTTTACTGACCGGTAACAGGATCGCAACCCTCAGTGTCGCGCCTGCACCGGGGACCGGCAACGGGATCGCAACCCTCGGTGTTGCGCCCGCACCGCACTCAGCCAGTGAGCGGGAACTGGTCTCCACATGGGATCCGAACCCTCGGCGGGAGCGCCGCCGTGCTCCCAAGCGGCGCACTCTCCAGTGTGCCACCAGGCTGGCCCTCCATTTTTCTATAAAACAACCTTTAGTAGTTCCTTCATTCAGGGCCTGGTAGTGATAGCTGAGACAAATGCTCCCTCATTCTTCTATGATACTTTAGCTGGGTACAGAATTCTAGGATGACAGTCATTTCTCACAGTGCTTTGAGGATGGTATTCCACTGCTGCTGTTGAGAAGTATGTTGTTAGTCTAACTGTTATTTCTTTACAGATAATATGTCTTTATCTTTGTGCATATGTTATCTTTTTGTTTTTGGTATTCTGAAATTTTACTGTACTGTGTCCAGATATGGGTTTTATTTTTATTGTCTTGCTTGGGACTTATTGTGATTCAGATATCTCCTGTCTTTCCTCAGATTTAGAAAAATTTCAGTCACTCTTTTCCCTTCTGGAACTATTAGACATATGTTGAATACTTTCATTTCATCTTTTTTTCCTCTTTGCCTTAGTTGCATTTTTCTATCTCTTTACCCCTCTGTGTTGCTTTTTGGGCAAGTTGCTTAGATCAAGTGGTGTGCTCATGCTGGTTGGTGAGAACCAATTCTGTGCATCTCTTCCCAGCTTTGCATTGAGTAACATCATGTTGGTAGCTTAAAGGTGGCTATGGTGAGAGTATGTACACTAAAGAAATTAATACATGATGCATATGAGGGCTTTATTTTTTCCTGAAGAGCTGGCTTATCAGCACATCACTACTGAGATACATCTTCTAGTTCACTAATTCTCTCTCAACTCTGTTAATTTGCAGAAGATGTCTAATACTTCAATTGAGATTTCTTTTTATTTCATCGACTATATTTGTAATTTTAGAAGATAAATCTGGTTCTTTTTCTACTCTTATTTTTCTTCTTGTTTTGTTCTTTTATCAAATTTCAATTACTTCTTTATAGCAATAATTTTAGATATATTTGTTTTATAATCTCTATACAAAGATTCAATTATTTGAAGTTTTTGGAGCTCTAATCATGCTATTTTTGTGTCTGCTGACTCTTGCTTATAGTGGATTGTTTCCTATCGTTTATAATTTTGGATTGTGAGCTCATCTTTAGAAGGGTTTTATGTTAATTTTTAAAATGGAGTTAATGAATCTTACAAAAAGTATAAATCAGAATCTCAAATCTAGATGAGGGTTTTCCTACAGCTACAAATCTTCAGAGGAGACTTTCTTCCCCTCCTATCTAGAGCCCAGAGCAAGGAAACAAACTTTCTAACTTCCCTGTTTCTCAGGGTGGATTTTTGTTTCCTTTTTGTCTTTTTTCGTGTCCGGCAACGGATCGCAACCCTCAGTGTCGCGCCTGCACCTCGCTCAGCCAGTGAGCGGCCGGTCTGTATGTGGGATCCAAACCCTCGGCGGGAGCGGCGCTGCGCTCTCAAGCAGCGCACTGTAGCAGTGCGCCACCGGGCCGGCCCTCTCAGGGTGGATTTTATCTTGTCAACTTTCTCATGAAAGGTATAGTCCTTCAAGGGTCCTAGCTTCACCGTGGTCTCAGGTCTCCCTCCCCACATCTTACAGATCCAAGACTCATTTTAATCTCTACAGAGTTTGTAAAATCCAAGCCTTTGGGCTGGCAAGATTACTGCCCTCACTGTAGCACTCTGTAGCCAGAACATCATCACAGTTGCTAGTTCTCTTTTCAATTTTCTCTCCTTAGTCTTCCCCTCATCCTTCTTCCCTTCCTCCTCCTTTTCGTCTCTTGGAGTTCCCTTTACTGTTTTTGTGAGATCAGCCATGAATTCAATAGGACATTTGTCTATAGTAGTGGCACAGTTTTCAGATTTTTCTAATTGCCATATTGCTAGAAATGGAAGTTCCAGACCTAGAATCTCTCTCTTTCTTGTTCTAGGCTTTAAGGTTTAAAAAACTAAAAATGGGATCTATGCTATGAGGAAGAAGGTGGTGTTTGCTGGCGAGAAGTTAGGGCTCTGGTGATACTGTGGGAATCATCCTCAGAGGACTGGGGGTTTAGTTCTCCGTGGTTGGTAAAGACTCAGCGGTATTTGTCCCTAGTTAACCTTTCTCCCTGACTCCTGGGAGGCTGCCCAGCTTGGCTTTCACTCTGCCTCTCAGAGCTTTCTCTGAGCAAGAATATTTATAATCCCATCTACTGGACAGTCTTATGTCTCATTTCAGATTTAGCCCAAAAAAGTTTGCTTCATAGAAGGTCAGGGCTGGAAAGGATCTCAGAGGCCACCTGGTCTAGCCTCTCATTTATAAGTGAGGAACTGGGCACAATGAGATGATAGGACCAGCCCAGATCACACGGAGAGAAGGAAAGACCTTTCCCCACTCAATGCAAAGCTCTTCTCTGCTCGTCCTCACTATGGTTTGTTAGGAAGTGTCCCAGCCTATGGGGTGGAGTGACAGTATCCAGAGAGTGTTTGTCACAATGACAGGCACACAGCAGGCACTCCACAGATTCAAGTATCCTCATTGCCAAGTTAGGTGCCCCCCTCCCCCAATTGTTTCCTTCCCTTTGGCTTCTCCCACGTGTTAGTTTTTTGTGGCTCCCAAATTTCCACAGACTTAGTGGCTTAAAACAACAGAAATGTATTCTCTTACAATTTTGGAGGTCAGAAGTCTGAAAAGCAGGTGTTGGCAGGGCCACGCTCACTCCGGAAGCTCTGGGGGAGAATCTGCTCCTTGTCTCTCGTAGCTTCTGCAGGTGTCCCCTGACTTGTGGCTACAATGTCCCAATCGCTGCCTCTGTCTTCACATGGCCTTTTCCTCTATGTATGTCTTCATCTGATTGCCCTCCACCTATCTCTTACAAAAATATGTGTTATTGCATTTGGGACCCAGCCAGGTAATCCAAGAGCAGCGCTTCTTCTCAAGATCCTCAGCTTAATTTCATCCTTTGCCATATAAAAAATATGTACAGATTCCAGGAATTAGGAAGTAAATATGTCTTGGGGGGAGGTGGGGCATTTTTTCTGCTTATGCAACCCCAGATGCTAACTGACTATACTTCTGAGGCCTCACTTTTCTTTTCTTTTCCCAGGGATAGTTTATTTCCTATTCTCTAGGGGATTATTTGAACTTGAAACATGCTTTACTCCTCCAGGCCTGGCTACGCACAGGACCATTCATCCCAGTACTATGAAGGCAGCAGTGTTATTAGGCAGTTGCTTTGTACCAGGCCACCTTGGCCCCTGAGGCCCTCCCAGTCCGTGTGGGTAGCGGCAGTAGCGTGAATGCTGTACGTGTTAGAGCACAGAGGCCACGACAGCCCGGAGGCTGCAGTGACTTGGGGGCTTAGGTTCCACTCACATCCTTACCTTCGTTTTGCAAAAATATTTTGAGCATCTACAATCCACTAGATTAGAATCTAGAGATAAGAGACAGAGCCTGTGCCCTTAATTAAGGGGGTCAAAGTTGAATGGGGATGAATATAAGTAAAAAGAATTCCAGCCCTAAGGTGATGAGAGATTTGGTAGAGGGAAGCCCAGGGTGCTGCAGGAGCATAGAGAAGGGGCTCACCGGAGGGGCTGGGGGCGGAGGAGGGAGTGGCACGGAGCTGGCTCAGAAAGGCTCCCTGGTGGAAGTGGTCTTGAGCTACCACTGGAAGACTGAATGGGGACAGTAGAGGCAATAGGGGGAGGAAAAGGCTCTGCACAGAGGGAGAGAGGCATCGACCTCATCACCTCTCACCCGTCCTGCTGCCCATCACCCACCTGACATTGCTGCGCCCCCATGCCTGTGTCCTGGGGTGCTACGCTGAGTGCTGTACAACGCGTACTCCCCACCGTGAATGCCTGTTGTCTAATCTAAGAGGAGTTTGATTCGGGTAACAACAGACCTAGAGTTTTCACCTGGGATGGGCATAACTGAAGCATCACGTTCCTAAAACTTTGCTCCACAGGGACCTTGACTTCGGACCCCTACGACTTTGCCAACTCCTGGGCCCTGAGCAGTGGGGAACAGCGGTGCAAACGGGCATCCCCTCCCAGCAGCACATGCAACACCTCCTCTGGGGACACGCAGAAGGTGGGTACAGTGGCAGACTGACAGAGCCAACTCTTCTTCTTGAGCTGCTTATTAAGCCAGATGAATTTCAAACTGAGCACACTCATGGTATTATGTGCAGTGAGGAGGAGAAGGATTTTTATAATCTTTCTTTTATTTCCACACTTAACAGTTCTGTTGTTGGCTGGTGGTTCTCCCTTTCCTGTCCCCCATGTACACTAGACAGGGGTGAAATTAAGTCGGGGGGGTGCCTCAGTTGGTGAGGTGGGGTAGGTGTGGCCATGTATGTACCTCTAACATGGAAACAGGCCTTTGAGAGCTTATTTTATTTTGTCTTACTTTATTTTGCAAACACAGGCCAGCACAGAGCAAGTGCTTGGCAGATGTCCCCTCTCCTTTAGAGTGCAAAGGGATAGTCTCATTTACACATACGAAGTGGGAGGTGCAGACAGGATTTTCAAGTGGAGAACCTGATACCAAGGCCGGGTTGAGGAGGGAGACTGGGTGCTTTGTCTCCCGGAGACAAATGTTGGCGGTGGGGGAGGGGAGTGCAGGAGGACCTCGCTGGCTCTCCAGGGCACCTGTTTGTGGCTCCAGCTGTGTACTCGCTACTCACTTTGTTTCCTGGGTGCATTAAACTCCTTACTAACCAGTGTCCTGGGAGCAGCTTAAGAAATTATATACCAAGTTCTTAGTGTTGGGCTGAGGCCCCGAACATGCCAGACCTCCCAGAGGCACAAACTCCTTCCAACTCGGAACTCCTGGTTTCGATTGTTTACCTGCCTGTCCTCAGCCAATCGGATTGTGTTTGCCCATGAAGGTGGGGGGGGGGGGCTCCCTCCCTGGCTGGGAAGCACAATGACTCCTCTCCTGGGAGGTGATTAACATGGTCTTCTGAATTGTTCTCAGCCTGTAGTCCCGCTGGGCTCCTGGGTTCAGAAGTCAGGTCTGGTAAATGGGGCATCATCTACAGTGTTTGCCACTGTGGCTCCAAGGGCCATTCGGAGTGGCAGAGTGTTCTGTGTGGGGGAGATGGCATTGACCTGAGAACTTTCTTTGATAGCCGCCGGAATCTATTCCTCCACTTCTTTGGAGCTTTCTGTCTTTCCACAGAGTCAGCTCATTCTGATAGCCAGGTCATGTTACTTATACCTAGGGGATGAATGTTTCCTTGTTATGCCAACAAAACCCAGTGCCTCTCTCCCCTGGGACTGATAATGGCTTGTTTGGTTGCATGCAAATTTGCAGTTTTTTCAGTTTCTCAAACTGAGGGCAGGACTGCTGGAGTCTGGAGCATGAAGCTATAAATGCTTAAATAACTGATGATAATTTGCAGGTAAATCTACTACATAATGCACATTTTAGAAAGAAAGATTCTTAGGTCACTTTTTGTTTGTTTATTTTAAATTTGGCCAGTCTGGGGGATATCAGGAAGGGCTGAACCTTCTGAAGAGATCTTGGCTTTGTTCTGTTGTCCTATCTGCAGCATGAAGCTCCACGGTGCTAGACTTGGGCTGCAGCTGGCCCAGACAGTGCTCTTGCTAATTAGAAAAAGGCACCCCTTCCTCAAGACGCTTTACCACCTGCTGGGAAACTGCCATAATAAACATTAAAACTGTAGATATAATGTACATATATGTGTACGATTTCTACCATGTGAACAGTAGTCACTCAATGTGTTGCCAGATATGCTGTGTGGCCTGCAGCGCGACCTCGATGGCCTTGGCCTGGCTTCCCCTGGGAGGTAAAGTCACTGTAGTCATCATCACCATCCTCAGCTCACCTCCCCCAGAGTGGCAAGACCATCTCTGGCTTTTGCTGCTGCCATCAGAATGTAAGGACGCTTTCTTGCCTCTGGCCCCAAAAGCCCTCCTGTATATCTCCTCAGAGTTTGTCCTCAAGACCATCAGTCTTTACTGAGAAACTGAGTACATCTTGTTATTGCTCAACCTGCCAGTCAATTGTCCACCAGCAGCACCAACCTCAGACAGGTGTCTGGAGCAGAAAATTTATTTCATCCATGTTAGGAATCTCAGGCTCATAAGAAGTCAAGAGCTAGATAAGATTCTAGAAGATATCTAGTTCACCCCCCCCCCCCCCCCCCCCGCCCAACTGCCCCCCCCGCCCCCCCCCCCCCCCCCCCCCCCCCCCCCCCACCCCCCCCCTCAC